CAACAATAAAGTGCAAATAACAAGATTTGTTCTCTAAACAAGATGAGAACTAAAATGTAAGCTCTCTCAATGAATCACTCACAACCCAAATATACAATATGTAAAATACTAAAGCTCAAATGGTTGTGTATGAAACAATAAGTAATATGAGATTAAAATGAAATATAAACTCAAATCAATCTAGCATAAAATATGATAAACAAAATATTAAATAGCTAAAGGTTGAGTTTAAAAAAACTTCTCTAAACAAAGAGAGACGACGATTCGAGGTTGAACTCCTTAAGGATGAAATTCTGATTCCTCTCTTTGTGAAACTCTCTTCACACACTTGATTTTTCTTAAAAACCTTTAAAACACACTGCCAAACCTATTTTGTAAACATTCTTGGTGAAACAAATAGGTTATGAGGCATATATATAGCCTCTTTAGCCAAACAACCCAAAAACTAGCCGTTATTGTAATTCTGACCGTTGATCGGTCGACTGATGAACAATGTCGGTCGACCGATGCACTGTTCACCAAGCACTGTTCACAAAAACATGAAACCTAAAAATCTAATTTTCTAAAATCAATTAAAAATAACAAACAACTCCAAAAATAGTAAAACTTGAGAAAATATTTATATATATGTGATAATGAACATGTTAAATAAGAAAATTTTAAAATATCATTTCTCGTTTGTGAAAACTTATCTGTTTTGTAAAAATGGCATGAAACCTGTTTTTCTAGAAAATCTGAGTTTGTAAATTCAATTAAAAATAACAAATTAATTTCAAAAATTATAAAATTTGGGAAACATTTATAAACACAAAAACAAATATGTTAAAGAGAAATTTTTTAAAATGTCACTTCGTATTTGTGAAAACTTACTGTTTTGCAAAAAACAAACAAAATACGAAGTTATGAAAAACACTATTTGATGAAATTTCTTCAAAATAAATTCTGTGATTCTTTTTAATGGATTGATAGACTTTAGGAAAGATGTAAAACGATATTATTCAGTATATAATCCAAAAATACGATATTTTCTCAAAAACAATGTGTAAAGCGATAAATCCACAATTTGTGTGTACGTGTATGAAATGAGCTTAAAGTATAAACACATAGAGTACACAACTAAACTTAAAACACTATACCCAAGACAAATAATCTTCAATTAGCTCGTCTTGGTTTGCGGATGAAGCGATGATGAATCTTGACTTGAATTGCGATAGCTTCATTCTGATATCCTTCCAACCTCCTTTATATATCGTCGTTAAGCTCAATTCCATCCAACCTCCAACGAGGATCTTTGTGTAGGATACCCAACAATCAAATGCAAATACTTGACAAACGATGTTAGGAATTTTTTGTTAATCATCTTAAACATGAGACCTAACAAAAATAACTTTAGAACTTTCTGGAATGAAAAGGGGGAAAATCAAAGAGTTGTTGGCACTCAAATATCGTAAAGTTTATTGCTTCAAACCCTCTTCCACCCAAAGTTTACTCAACTTTAACTTTGATACCTTAAAATTTTTATCCACAAAATGTCCCAGTGTGTTGACCTTATTTTTAATTTTGATACCTTAGGGAGTTTTCCAAAAAAACGCGCCAACATTTGACTCATTTTTAAATTTGATGCCCCAATGCTTTTTTGCCGAAAAAAAAGCTTCGAAGTTAAGCAAAATTTTACTTTGATAGTCGAAACTTTGACAAAATTTAATCTATTGTACAAACTTTGACAAAATTTAATCTATTATACAAACTTTGACAACATTTAATTTATTATACAAACTTTAACAAAATTTAACCAAAATTTGAGTGCGGGGTAATCAAAGTTAAATTTTGTTGAATTTTAGAGTATTCTTTGGAAAAAAGAAACTTTCAGGCATCAATTTTTAATTTTTTATGACATTTAGGGTACTTTATGGAAAAGGGGGAAACTTTAGAATAACAAAGTTAGAAATAAATAAACTTTAGCGTATTTAAGTCCAGATAATTAACACCTGAAACAAGAAGATGTTCCTTATAAATTATAAATTTAACCTTGAATTTGCTACAGGGAGTGTAACAACTAGGGTACAATTCACAAAACCCCGTAGAACTTTGGGATTTTATTTCACATATACACGCTTGAACATTGAGGTGCAATCCCCTAAACTTTAACATATTCTCATCGCACCTCTCACTTGTAATTTTCAAATAACTAAAAATTTTTGAAAGGAAAAATTTTAAATAAGTGGCGGAGCTAGAAAATTTCCCCTTTGGGGCGGGGGATGTGGAGTGTGGTGGATATTACTTATTTAATTCATTAAAAAGAATTTTTATGTTAGTCCATTACATCTATAATATTCTGAAGTCGGTCCCTCATATTATTCTATTAGGTCCCCCAACTTTCACGATTAGTATGAAACTACTCACAAGAATTAGAGAACTTAATAGAAATTTCATTGGTTTGGGTGGCTGATTATAAAATAACTTAAGGATTTTATGCGACCTTATAGCAATAGCAATTTCAACGATTGAGGGACACATATCAAATCAAAAGTGCAAATTACCTTTATATTTTAAATCTTGTTATTGTCATTTACTAGCGACTTACCCCCTATCCGTAATTTTTGGGTTTTTGTTTTCTCAAAGAAATTTAATTTATTTGCAAAATGACATGCAAGGGGATTTGGTGATAAACGTTTAAAGTTCAGAGAATCTATGTATAAAGCCCCACAAACTTCTATCACTCTCTACTGCTGTGTTTCAGAGCTCACTAATGGCCTGTTTGGATGGAGAGTAGAGAAGGAATGAAGAAGGAAAATTTTGATTTACCTTTGTTTGAGAGTTCCATTTAGAAGAATAGAGAAGTGAAATGAGAGCGAAAATTGATCTAAAATTTTATCCCCCAATTAGAGGTAAAGAAGGTAGAAAAATTTCTCTTCCTACCCTTCCCTTACTCATCTCTCCAACACACTATAATGGAAGGGAAGAGGAGGGAAATAAAGAGAACATATCAATTTTCGCCTCCCCTCATTTACCCCCATTTTGGGGTATAAAATTTTAGTATAAATTTTCCCTCGTTTCCCTCTTCTACCCATCAAATAAGACTCTCAAACAAGAATACTCAAACTTATCATTCCCTTTCGGCAAAATGGCTAGATTGGCATATTTTTTTGAGGCTTGGTGACATGTTGGTATATTTTCTTTTAGTTTTGTCAGATTGGTATATTTTTTCAACTCCGACGCCATATAGACCTTAAATTTGGCCGGAGTTACTATTTCGACCAGGGCTGATGGGATTTTTTGTAAAATAACCCCTCATCAAATACAATTTCCTACTCCTAACCCCCCTCTCCCTCCTCCTCATCCTCTTCAACCTCCCCCTCTCTCCCTCCTCCTCCTTATCCTCTTCAACCTCCCCCTCTCCCTCCATGCCTTCATTCTCATCTCAACTCCCCCAACCCAAAATCCCTTTCTCTTCACCTCCCCCTCTTCCTCCATGCCGTTCGATGCTCGTGGGTGAACTGCACATAAGGCGGCCGAAGAGATGAGGGAGGGAAGAAGAGATAGGGGTCGAGGGTCTGCCATTGGAGGCGGTGGGTCAAGGGGTCTGGTTCCACGTTGTGCAGTAGGTTTTCATCAGAATTGAAATTGTCGCATTTAAAGCATCGCTGCTATAGAGCAAGGAGAGACAGGCAGTTATGGCATTTACTACAGTCAATACAGCAATGAATGGAAAAAGGGGTGAGATAAAAGCAGTTATTAAAACATTTATTAGCATCTAGTTTTCTATTATACATGAATTCGGTCCTAGCAAAACTGTTATTGTTGTAATGGTACATAACTATATGTCATTTTGCCTAGTTATTCAAACTATTAAAGTAAATTTAGACTATTTCTACATCTTAGGCCAAAATTTCAGTTAAAGAGAGACAAAATAAAAGCATTGACAGAAATGCAAGGTGTCGCTCCCACAAAAGCACTTTTGTTCTCAAATCATTCAACATACTTCACCAGTTACCTCAGCTTGCAATCAGCTATCATATAAGCATTGGAAGATGTAAGTATTGCTCAGCGCCCTATTCCATCTTGAAATATGCTATATTCTGAGCAATATCCCTGTCATGTCCAGGTAATGTTTTCCTCCATCTTGGGTCAGCCCAAATATAACGTCAATCCATCTTGATCCAAACCCACAACATTGTCAATTATATTATAATTTTCTTATATAGATTTTATTCTGCTATGTAGGGTGTGTTCATGACATTGCAATAAAATTAATAGATGAACGTCCATGTCTGAGAAAGAGTTCGTTTTTTGATTCGATGATTAAAAACATCAAGCATAAATTAAATTATAACATTTAGAAGAATATTAACTGCCAGGTTATGCATTCTTAGGCTTATTATGATTAACTACTACCAATATCATCCATAAGACCCATTGACCCATCGCCTCCAATGGCAGGCCCTCGACCCCTATCTCTTCGTCCCTCCCTCATCTCTTCGATCGCCTTGTGTGCAGTTCACTCACGAGCATCGAACGACATGGAGGGAGAGGGGGAGGTTGAAAAGAAAGGGATTTTGGGTTAGGGGAGTTGAGATGAGAATGAAGGCATGGAGGGAGAGGGGGAGGTTGAAGAGGATGAGGAGGAGGAGGGGGG